AAGAGCATCGGTGATCCTGTACAACCATCTCATCCTCTGTCATCCCGTTCTCCTCTTGCCGTCACACTTTCCCAACATCAGGGTCTTTTCCAGGGAGTCTTCTCTTCTCATGAGATGGCCAAAGGATTGGAGCCTCACCTTCAGGATCTGTCCTTCCAATGAGCACTCAGGGTTGATTTCCTTCAGAACGGATAGGTTTGTTCTCCTTGCAGTCCAGGGGACTCTCAAGAGCCTCCTCCAGCACCACCATTCAAAAGCAGCAGACATTCTGCACCTACACAAAAATGTCCTCTTGATAAGGAAACAGCTTTAATCAGGCCCATATACTCCGCATTGTTATCTTTGGCTAGTTAAGTGCTGCCATAATGTCTCCCCAAGAACAAACGAAACATTTCTGGAAATTTTGAAGCTGGTGGAGAAAGGGGTGGTGGGGATGGTGGTTTTTTTTAAAAGGGGGAAAACCCGAGATTTTTTTGAGAAAATATTTAAATGCAGTCCTTATGTACCAAACCTGCTTTTATTTTCTGATTGAATGTTTAACTTGGAACACTTTCTGGGTGGGCAGGGCAGAGGAGGCTCCTTCCCTTATAGGCTTTTTCCCCAGGAGAGAGCAGTAAACATTGGGTACAGAGATGCGTGATCGATTTGAAGGCTATGAACCTCAACTTGCATGGAGAGGAACGGCTGTTCTCTCGTTCTGGGCCCACTCTTACATCATGAGACGACACAGTCCCTGGGATTCTGAGTTTGAAAAACTTTCCATTCATTTCAAAAGAGAAATCTTTTCATCCACATGTTTTGCTGTGTTCCTCAAAAGTTTCAGGTTTTTCTTTTCTTTTCCAAATGAAAATGTTTTGAAAAAAATGCTTTTTGGGTTTCCTTTTGGGTTGTCCCATTTCTGCGGTTTCATGTTCTGGGTTCCTGTTTCATAGAATCATAGACTCATGAAGCTGGAAGGGGGGGGCTACAACGCCATAAAGCCAACTCCTTGCTCGATGCAGGAACTCAAATCCAAGGAGATCTGCCAGGGGGTTGTCTCCGTTTCTCTTGCAGGCCTCCAGGGCTGGAGCCCTCACTGCCTCCCGATGTCATGGGTTCTGTCCATCCACCCTAAAGTGTGTTCTGTTTGCTTCCAACTCCCATCTCTTCAAGAAGCCTTGCTTTGTTCGCTCATCCTAGGAAGAAGGCCATGCCTCTTTGCTTTGCTAAAATCACATATCTAAACCTTGAATCCTTGACTTAATTTGGGTGAGCCGGACGCTGCTGTTCTGAGCTCACAGCCCTCTGGATTTTCAGTCAGAGGATCCAGTCATCCTGTTCTCTGTCCTAAGTCTTGGCTCCTGCTTGAAGGACCTGGATCAGTTCCAGATATCTTGCTTTCTAGGAACTGTCCCAGCTGGTTTGCTCTTTCTGCTGGAAGTAAGTTAAAAGTAAAGGTTCCCCTTGACATTGAGTCCAGTCGTGTCCAACTCTAGGCCACAGTGCTCATCCCCGTCTCCAGCGTTTGTCCAAAGACTGTTTTCTGTGGTCATGTGGCCAGCACGACTAGACACGGAACGCCGTCTCCTTCCCACTGAGGTGGTACCTATTTATCTACTCGCATTTTTACCTGCTTTCGAACGGCTAGGTTGGCAGGAGCTGGGACAAGCGATGGGAGCTCCCTCCATCGCATGGATTTGATCTTATGACAGCTGGTCTTCTGACCTTGCAGCACAGAGGCT